GGGCACCCCCAAGTTTTGGGGGTGCTGGGGGACAGTCGTGGGGCCAGGGTATCCCTGGGGTCTTGGGGGGCTGCTGGTGCAGGGGTTGGGTGTGGGCTCCATCTGGGGGTCCTGATGCCCCCCATGCTTCCTGCAGGGCTCTGAAGACGCGAGGGAACACCCCCAAGTATGGACTAATTTTCCACTCCACGTTCATTGGGCGAGCAGCTGCCAAGAACAAGGGTCGCATCTCGCGCTACCTCGCCAACAAGTGCACCATCGCCTCCCGCATCGACTGCTTCTCGGGTGGGCATGGGGCACAGGGCTTGGGGCTGCTCTGCCATGATGGTACCATTTTTCGTCAGCAGTATCTCACACCCAGTGTGAATGGTGACTCCTGTGGGCTGAGCAGAGCATGGGGGACCTGGGGGGACACAGGGTCTGGGGGGTGCAGGACAGGGACTGAGCCTCTCTGCCTTCCCACAGAGATCCCCACCAGTGTGTTCGGGGACAAGCTGCGGGAGCAGGTGGAGGAGCGTTTGGCCTTCTACGAGACCGGGGAGCCCCCCAGGAAGAACCTGGACGTGATGAAGGAGGCTGTGGTGGAGGTGAGGAGAGAGAGTGGAGGGGATGTGTTGGGGGGTGAAGGAGGAGGTGATGGAGGTGAGATGTTGTAGTGGGGGTGAAGAAGACTATGCTGGAGGTGATAAAGATCATGGAAATAGGTGCTGGGGGCAGGATGAAGGAGGAGGTGATGAAAGTGAGGTTCTGGGGGATGAAGGAGGTGGTGGAGGCAAAGGACTGTGGGTTGTGAAGATGCTGGTGAGAGCTGTGTCGGAGGTGATGTTACTGTGCCATCCTGACCCACTATGGAGGCAAAAGACTGATTTAATGAGGCTGATCCGACCAGTGCTGGCAGCGGGTGGGGACAGGCCCTGGGACCCTCCCCCTGCTGATGTCCCCTGTGTCATCCCCAGGCCAACGAGGTGGTGGCTGAGGTGAAGAGGAGACAGGAGAAGAAAGAGAAGAAGAGGAAGAAGCGGGAGAAGCGGCGGCTGGAGGCACTGGCAGCAGCTGCTGAGGAAGCAGAGGAGAACTCTGTGATGGAGACAGAGGTGAGGGACCCTCTGGGGGATCAGGGGGGTCCTGGCCCTGTCCTGGTTCTTCCTCACCCACCTTCCCTGCAGCCAAGTGGGGTGAGGGGTTGCCTGGGCCCCTCAGGGATGAGGGAGTCAAGAGTGAGGGGCAAAACCCACCCTGACTTTGGGGCTCTCTCCAGGAGAATGATGTGGTCAAGAAAAAGAAGAAGAAAAAGAAGCAGCAGCAGGAGGAGTTGGAGGCAGAGGCTGAGCCTGAGGAGAATGGGCTAGAGGAGGAGGAGGAAGAAGAGCCTTTGCCCAAGAAGAAAAGGAAAATTGAGGTGGAGCAGGAGGAGGAGGAAGAGGAGCAGAAGAAGAAGAAAAAGAAGAAGAAGAAGGCAGCAGCCAGGGACTCAGAGGAGGACTAGGGAGCAGGAGCTGGGGCAGGTGCTCCAGCACATGGACTGACAGACTGATGGACTGACAGGCACAAGCTGGGCTCCGAGCTGTCCTTGGCTGTGTCCTGTGGCACAGTGGCCACATTGAACATGTCGTGGCCCGTGTGAGTTCCTTTGGCCAAGGTTGAGCGTGGTGAGGCCCTTTGTGGCCTGGGTGCGTGAGTCCCTTTGGCCCCCAGCAGCCCCTGGGCTGTGCCTTAGGCCACACTGACCAACCCCAGCCCCAGCCCCCTGTGCCCTCCCTGTGGGGCTCAGGCTGCATGTGGCCTGTCCCCAGGCTGTCCCCTCCTGCCTGTGCGGTGTAGGGGGACAGGACCTGCCCCAATAAAGGGCTGAGGTGGTTGATGTCTTGTGTCCTGTTCATGCCAGGGGGTGACCACATTGTCCCCCCTTGGCACAAGGGCCACCCTGTCCTGGAGCTGCCTGTCTGCCCTGCCCCGGCGGAGGGACATGATGGCATCGTGTGTCACCCCAAGGCCACGTTTATTGTGGGGACACTTGAGATCCCGTTGGGGGGGGGGGTGAGTGAGGGGTTATCACTCCAGGGAATCTATCACGGCCTGGGTGAAATCCAGGGAGGTGGAGTAGCCCCCCATGTCCGCCGTGCGCACCTGCAAGGAGAGGGGAGTTAGGAGGAGGGAGGGGACCCCTGCAGCAGAGCAGGGTCCCAGTCTCCATCCTGGGCACTCACTGCGGGGCTGAGCCCCCCAGGGCCCTCTGCAGCCCCAGATTGTCCCTGTGCCTCAGAGAGGGGTGGAGGCATTGTGGGGACACAAGGAGGGGCTGAAGGCCCCCCCTGCCAGCTGAGAGGGGTACCATGGACCCCAGCTGTGGGTGCCCACAGGCACAGGGGGTGTTTCCAGCACTGACACACTGCCCAGGACCCCCATTAGGCCTGAGGGAGTGGTCCAAGCTCTGCCCACCCTCCCAGCAGCCACAGCCCTGTGCTCCCTGCCAAGCACTCCCGCTGCCCCACTGCACCCCCAGGCTGTGAGTCCCCCGGGCCAGGGCAGGGCCAAGACAAGCATTGGACCCTTTATTTGCAAGCAGAGTACAGAGCACAGCGTGATGACGATGACATGGCCAAGCCCAGCACTTGCAGGCACCCCTGGCGTGGCACCAGGACACCCCAGAGCCATGGGTGGTCCCAAGACTGCCAGGAGCCACAGGGATCCCTGGGCTTACACTGGCTGGTGCTCTCTGGATGCCCCAGGAGCCACTGGGCCCCCAGACTGGCCACCATGGGTGGTTCTTAGAGACCAGGAGCACTGGGACTGCCCACCCAGCACCCAGAGCCTCTGTCCCTGTGCCAGCAGCTGGGGGCCTCAGCCCTGGAGGTCTGGTTATTGCTAATAGCCTCATGGGTAGGGTCCCACAGGAATTGGGGGGAGTCCCATGGGAATGGGGGTCCCATGGATGGTAGTAGTAGTCCTACAATCATGCTGGTCCCATGGGAATGGGGGTCCCACGGATGGTAGTAGCGGTCCTAGTCACACTGGTCCCACAGATGGGAGTAAGTGGTCCTACAGTCACACTGGTCTCATGGGAATGGGGGTCGCATGGATGGTAGTAGCGGTCCAAGTCACACTGGTCCCATGGATGGGAGTAGTGGTCCTATGGTCACACTGGTCCCACAAGACTGGTAGTCCCA